GGGAGGGAGGGGGCGGCGTTGGCCAGTATGCCGCAGATGTGCGCCTTGAGGTGGGCGGGGGGGAGGGGAGGGTCGTTGGGGTGCAGCACATTCTTGATGCGAAGTCGCCCTTGAACCGCCTTCCGCTCGATGGCGTCCAGGCGGCTGTCGTGGTGGATGGCGACCGTGGTCATGTTAGCAACTGCTCGGCAGACACCGCCGAGCAGCTGCTCGTGCTTGTGCCCCAGATGGCTGACGGCGTCATCGAGGACGTGCATGGAGTCAGCCGTCGTCTCCTGGACGTCGGCCACGGCGTCGGGGACGATGTCGGCGATCGCTCGAATGGCCATATCGTAGCCGATCGTTGCACCCGCCATGCTGGCCTTGATGAGGGCATCGAACTGTGGAGAAGTGCTCGAAACTCCAAGGTTCATCACCAGCTGCTTGATGGCGGTCTCCATTCCCGCCATGTGCTGCCCGTCAGCCGGGAGGTCTGCTATCCGCTTGCCGAGGATGCGCTGTTGTAATGCTGCTCGACGAGCTGGTGGGTCATCGTGGGAAACAGCCATGGGGGATGGTGCGGGGGGTGAGGGAGCGTCCATTGCGAAGGGAAAGTGAGAGGGGGTGGGCTCGACGCTGCGCTACGACGCCACGGCAAATTAGTCGAGTGAGGGGCTGCAGGGGATTATGGTATGGGTTCAGGTCCCACACCGGGTCATTTTGCCGAAAGCGGCAGTGGGAAGAGCCCGAGCGGAGCGAGGGCGGCCCGAGTGATGTAGAGAGCGACAATGGCGCACACCTGATGTAGAGAGCGACAATGGCGCACACCTGATGTAGAGAGCGACAATGGCGCACACCTGATGTAGAGAGCGACAATGGCGCACACCTGATGTAGAGAGCGACAATGGCGCACACCTGATGTAGAGAGCGACAATGGCGCACACCTGATGTAGAGAGCGACAATGGCGCACACCTGATGTAGAGAGCGACAATGGCGCACACCTGATGTAGAGAGCGACAATGGCGCACACCTGATGTAGAGAGCGACAATGGCGCACACCTGATGTAGAGAGCGACAATGGCGCACACCTGATGTAGAGAGCGACCATTGTCGCACACCTGATGTAGAGAGCGACAATGGCGCACACCTGATGTAGAGAGCGACAATGGCGCACACCTGATGTAGAGAGCGACAATGGCGCACACCTGATGTAGAGAGCGACAATGGCGCACACCTGGTAGAGTGGGATGGGGTTTCGGTCGGTCCTTTCATGAGGTGGAGGGTGGTTATACAGCCCTAGTTTCACGTGGGTAAACCAACTCTTTTTCTAGAACGTTTTTTCAAGATCTGCCTTCGGATATCTGTGGAGAAGGTCACTGCGAGGAACGAGTTTGCTTCGAGCTTCAAATGCGTTCACGCGTTTGCGCGAAAAACGGCACCAAAAACCCTTCAAAATCGGTTTTCGGCTGTTTTCTCTCGGGTTTCTGGTGCGTTCGCCGCGGGAGTCTGTGTGTGAGTGCTCTTTCGTTTGCTCTGTCCTCACGCAAGGGATTGTTGCTCTGCGCTCCGTGAAACACGAGAACCAGCCACCAAACGTTGACGAGGCCGTCAACCCAAATGAGCACGACTGGGTCAATGCATGATACACTTCGCTACGTTGTGTTCACACGGAAGCGCGCATCGCTTTTGGTTTCGTGAAAAAGAAGAACGGATCACTGAAAGTTTACACAGCCATGAATCATCAGTCACACAATGCATCGTTCACGGCACAACTGCTTTACGGTCTCTTCGTACGCAAGCGGCCGTCGCTCTTCGGCCGCGCAGTCGAGACCATAGCCGGTGAAAACTTCGCAGCCGGTTCGCCCCGTATGTGAAAAATGGCGGTTGCCTGGGATCTCCGGCGGTGTGGCTAGTGAGTGCCGCACTGATGCAGTGATCAAACTTCATATGGGCACCATCGGGCTGCGATCCTTCCCTGTAGCGTTAGGCAAGGAAAACGTTTTACGGGCAATCAAGCTCGCAGGATGAAAGCAAAGCAGAGTGCCGCAAGCAATTTTGCGAAGCAAAGTCGATGCAGAGGGATGCTCTGAGCAATCCCTGCGTCACAGGCTCCCAAAATACCCACTCACCGCTGAGATCGGCCGCCCCTCTCCCCACTTGTACAGAAGATCGGCCTGATCAGTCGTGAGCATGTCGTTCCGACGCTCACCGACACCCTTGGACGACGCCTGACACATCGGCCTATCATCTCTGGTACGTTGAGGCACCCACTTGCATCCCCTCACTCAAAAGATCCGATCTTATCATGTACACACAAGCATACGTATCTGCATGGCCTCCTGAGACCCACAGACACCTCACTGACTGCCTGCTTGTCCCTCTGCTTGTCCTGCAGGCTGATCGACTCATCGTTTTCGACCTGCGGCACGAGATGTGCCGACTCAGCTATCGAGATCTCCCGACACATCGCAGTTACCGCAAATGTACCTGAGGTGAGCACAGATCCAGAGCGATGGGAGGGGTAGGAAGGAGGGAGGAAGGGAGAGAGGGAGAGGGAGGGAGGGAGAGGGCAACATGATACACATCCATCCATCCATTGCTCTGTCTGTCCGTCTGTCTGTCTGTCCCTTACCTGCAGTATTTAGTTCATTGTTTGTTGCCGTACCCTTCGCTGCTCGACGCCCCATGGCCCTCCCCCTCTCACACCCACCACCAGCTGCTGCACCGGCCTCAGCGCCCCTCTCGCACCCACCACCACCACCCCAGCTGCAGCGCTCGCCACCATGACGAAGCGTCCGTTCCCAGATGACGCTGAGGTGCTTCCTGGGCGCACACGCAGCGCCCAGCGCGTCCTTGACGGCCGTGAGCCGCTTCCAACGCACACCGCCGGTCCTGCAGCAGCCAGAGCGTATGGCGACGCACCTGACGAGTCTTCAGCAGGCGGGCGCAGACACCAGCTGTCGGTGCGGCGTACGGCGTTTCTTGCAAACGACGGCCACCTGGGGATGGGATGGCCGAGCAAGCTTGCACAGCTGGAAAGTGTGCGCGGGAGGGAGGGGACCGAGAATCTGCGGGTGCACCAAGAGGTTTTCGCGCCGTTGGTGTCGATCGAGGAAGGGCTTCACAAGGCTCTGGGTCGTCCACGCCTCAAGGAGCCCAGCCTTGTCGTCCTGTCCAAGACCAAGCGCCGCGAGGGGATTCGAGCGACGGGCAAGGTGGGACGGGTCACGGCCATCTGCAGCAGAAGGGCGGCGGTATCGCTGTTCCACTTCCTCGTCAACCACTCATTCCCTCCCATCGCACGTCCAACCGGAGATGAGCACTTCGACCGCATCGAGATGATCACCAGCCCAACCACGATGCGCCGAGTGCCAGCCGGTCCGCAGCGACGTGCTGTTCTTGGCGATGACGCGATCGTGCCAGACACGCCCCTGTGGGGTGTCTTCGCGTTCAGAGGGGCGGGGACGACCAGCCTGGTGTCGCGGCTGCTCGGCTCTGATCGGTGTGAGAACGGCCGGACCATCAAGGGACGCACGGGTTTCGTCAACACGGTCAGCCTGACACACACACATACACACAGCCACACAACACACAATACACAAAACACACTTCGTCCGGCTCTGCCTGTGCGCTTGTATGTGTGTCAGCATCGCCTCGTCGCGACCGAGGAGGCGCCCTTCTGCCTCGTCATCAGACCGCTCAGCCCTCGACCCAACGCCATTCTCCAGGCCATATTCTCATTCCAGACCACCACGGTGCAGGGCGGCGGCGGCGGTTTGGGTGGTGATGTGGGTGGTGGTGTGGGTGGTGGCGAGGGTGGTGGCGACATGCCCGCTGTGAAGGAGGACGGGGAGGGCGAGATGGATGAGGAGGGCGGGGAGGGCGACATGGATGAGGAGGAGCCTGCCGGTGACGACCAGGATGAATTTGGCGACAACGACGGTGACGCCCCGGAGGGTGAGCAAGGCCTGGCTGGCATGTCGCCACCACCCTCGCCACCACCCACACCACCACCCACATCACCACCCAAACCGCCGCCGCCGCCCTGCACCGTGGTGGTCTGGAATGAGAATATGGCCTGGAGAATGGCTTCCTCGGAGATGACGACGATGCTCGCGGCTTCATGGGTGTGGGCGGAGGGGCGTACAGCAATGAAGAATTGGAGAATTTGCAACGGGCAGGGAGGAGGGCTGTGTAGACATGTGCGCGTGAATCACGGACCGATTGATTGATTGATTGTCCTCGATGACTCAGTGATGGGTGACGAATCAGACAGACCTGAATGTGTGCAATGAATGAATGAATGAATGACCCGACCAATCAATCACATACATTGAATGAATGAATGAATGAATCGCAATCGGCATGTCAGTCACTGTTTCACAACTATGCACAATCGATCGTCAGGCAGCTACTTCTGTTCTGGCTTTTTCGGTTCTATCGGCACTTCAAGCTGCCCTGCCTTCATCGCTTTGTCTGCTTGCTTCTGCAGATTTCTCCAGTCTGCGTATGTAAATGGCTCGCCCTTCTTCTGACCCCCAACCTGCTTCAGCACCATGAATGGCACGTCCGGGAGTCGGTGGTCGTACCCGATCGATGGGAGCATGCGTGTGGCGTTGTTGCTGCCATAGGTGAGCACCTCGAGGTGGTATTGGTCGACAGCAGCGAGTTGGGCCTTCTCGATGCTTCGAGTGATCATCTGCCACCCGAGCTCCCCCTCGATGGCGCCACCACCGCCCTTTGTGGTGTGGTGCCGCTCCACCTCTTTGGCCACGTGGTTGGATGCCTCGGGTGCTGTCATGTTGCCCATCTGGCCGAGAGGAGGGGCACCGACGGGATCGCGCCGACATGCGGTGAAGAAGAAGAACACGGATCGTCCGCCGCTTTGTCCACATCAGACGCTCGAAATGGGGGCTGACACAACACAGCCATCAGTCAAGGAGTGATGTGTGGTGTCTGTGGCTTCCCACCCACTCAGGTGCATACCACGTGGAATGGTCGTGGCGGTCTCGGCGTGATGGCCTGAGAGTCGACGTATGGCTCGTACTCGTGACGATGCGCCTTGACGTACTCAAGTACGGCCAATCGCTCCAGCATCTGCCGCTGCAACTCGCCCGACGCCTTGAGGGCGTAAAGGATGCGATGGCGGGTCTCGGCCTGGTCGGCATCGAGCTCGGGATTGAGCTCAACTGGGTCATCAGCCTCATATGGCTCGCCGTCATGCGCCTCCACAAGCCGCCGCACCAGTGGCTCAGGAATGCCGTTGGGGAGCGAGGGGATGGGCGTCTCGAGTATGTCGGGAACGAATTGGACGAAGAGGTCTCGCCGCGTCTTGAGCAGCGTGGCGAGATTCACCTTGTGCGGCCGAGACGGCGGCCTTCGCTCCGTCCGGAGACCGGCGTAGCCCCTCTCGAGCATGCTGCGCAGCGTGTCCTCAGATGGATTCTTTGCCTAAAGGTGTGACATCAGGTCGTTGAGCATCCACATCTCCATCTGCTCTTGCTTGCCGCCCTTGATCACGACGCGTGTTGTTGACCGATCGAGCTCGTCGGCGTGGTCAAACGGGTCAGCCGCAAGGCGAGCGAGGGAGGGAGGGGAGGCGGGCTGGTCGTGACTTGCTGTGGGGCGGTGGTCAGGTGCATCACCAGGGCGAGCTGCTGCGACTGGTCGTCGTCTGAGCCGACCAATCTGGTCGGCCATGCTCACTGCAGCTGGGGTGGTGGTGGTGGGTGCGAGAGGGGCGCTGAGGCCGGTGCAGCAGCTGGTGGTGGGTGTGAGAGGGGGAGGGCTATGGGGCGTCGAGCAGCGAAGGGTACGGCAACAAACAATGAACTAAATACTGCAGGTAAGGGAC